CGGCCACTGCACTCCAGTCTGGGCGACAGAGTGAGACTCCAACTCAAAAAAGAAAAGAAATTACTTGCAAAATAACAAAACTCCCTCATGATTTTGCTCATAATGGCTAAAGTGTTGAATTTTTTCCAAGAATTTTTTTCTTTCTGAGTTGTAATATCACCTGTTTTGTTTCTCTTCTTCGCCCAGGCTGGAGTGCAGTGGCATGCTCGCTCATGGCCACTCCAGTATCGACCTTCTGGGCTCCAGCGATCCTTCTGCCTCAGCCTTCTGAGTAGCCAGAACTAGAGGCGTGCACTACCACGCCCGGCTATTTTTATTTTGTCATAGAGACGAGGCTGGTCTCAAACCTGCGGGCTCAGGCAATCCACTCGCCTTGGCCTCCCAAAGTGCTGGGATTACAGGCTGAGCCATCGAACCCAGCATGTTTTGTTTCTAAAAATGAGTTTCACCACAAACATGTCATGTATTTTGATTATCACCTAAATGCAATATGTAACGTGTGTCTTTTTTTGCCTTTGTTTTCAGCTACTACTTATACATGTGTGATAAAGTGGTTGCCCCAAACGTATCGCTCACTTCTGCTGTATCCCAGTCTAAAGAGGTCACAAAGACAGAGGCAAGTAAGTCCACGTCAAGACAGTCAGAGAAGCCTCATGATAGTGGTAAACATCAAAAACCAGTGTCTTATCCAGATGTCTCACTTGAGGAGCAGGAAAAGATGGATTTAAAAACAAGTAGAGAATTATGCAGCCGTCTAGGTAAGTATTCGGAAATTATCCCTTAAAAAGCCAGTGTCTAATTTATTCAGCCTTTTCAAAGAGGACTTTTACTTACACTAATTTCTCAGGTAATTGAATCTTTTACCTTAAAAAATGCCACCTTCCAAAACGCTCAGTGGTTTCATTGGAACCTCAGTGACTGCACTTTTCTAGCATGGTAGTAGCTAAAGCAGTTAAGGAGATAGAGAGGACAGGCCCCTGGCTTCACGTTGCAAGTGGTTTTTGTCTGATTTTTTTTTCTTCCCTTCCTCCTTTTTCTTTACTGTCATATTTCTTCAGTAGATCTTTTTATTGCCAATTTGCTGAGGACTGAGAAACCATTTAACTGATACTAAGAAGTATATATAAGTCAGGTGAAGAACTCAGGGAAACTTAGTCATGGGATAAAGCGAGGATTGAAAGTCCTGGGAGCCGGGCAGGTGGCGTCGAGCAGGCATGTCCGACCTGTGGCCCTCACGACGTGTGCGGCCCAGGGCAGCTAGTCATGTGGGCCCACAAAACCTTTTAACATCGCGAGTCCTTTGGCATTCGTTTTCTTCGTGATTCCACGTGCCATTCCATGTTTGAAGTTCACAGTCATGCCTTATTCATGGCATTGGTTTTTGGCAGCTGTTTTCAGTTACAAAGCACAGGAGGAGCAGAATTCAACGAAACATTTCTGATGACCATTCTGAGAACTCGCTAAGAATTGTGACCTTTTCCATCAAACCAGATATTGGCAGATTAGTTTTATGAAACAAAGCTAAATTTCCCCCTAGTTCTATATTGTTCTCATTTTTCTAAACTTTATAGTAAAAGTTTGTTTGTTTGTTTGTTTGAGTTGGAGTCTCACTCCATCACTCAGGCTCACAGCCACCCAGCGCCGACCTGCTCGGCTCCGGTGATCCTTCCGCCCCAGCCTTCCAGGTAACTGGAACTGCAGGCACACGCTACCACACCTGACTGATTTTTCACTTTTCATAGAGACAGGGTCTTGCCGAGTTGCCCGGGCTGGTCTCGAACCCGCGGGCTCAGGCAGTCCACTCACCTCAGCCTTCCAAAGTGCTGGGATTGCAGGCTGAGCCTGGCTAAAAATATATTTTAAAAAAGAAGACTTACTATTGTATATGCTAATTATATTGTATAATTTATGTGCGGCCCAAGACAGTTCCTCTTTACTCAGTGATGCCAAGGGAAGCCAAAAGGTTGGACACCCCAGCATAGATAGAGAATGCTCAGTGGTCCTCTGACAGAAAAAAAGTTGATCACTTAGCGTGCATTTAAAAAATACTGTGGCTCAAATAAGACAAGTCTACTCAAATACTGCCTGTGTTTCCCTCCATAAAGCTGCACAGCTTTGCTTACAGTGTGACAATTATGTTAGTTGCCTTGAAACAGCTGGAGAGTCTTCTAGTTAACTTTGCTTTTTATAGAGAATTGAAATTCTTGGGGTTTTCTGTACTTTATTTTGAGATTTTTTTTTTTTTAAGTCGGAGTCTCACTCTGTCGCCCAGGCTAGAGTGCAGTGGCATGCTCCCGGCCACCGCAGCCTTGACCTCCTGGGCTCAGGCGATCCTTTTGCTTCATCCTTCCTAGTAGCTAGAACTACAGGCGCACGCCACCATGCCCGACTAATTATTTGATTTGTTATAGAGATGAGGTCTCACCAAGTTGCCCAGGTTGGTCTTGAACCCCTGGAATCAGGCAAACCTCTCAACTCTGCCTCCCAAAGTGCTGGGATTACAGGCGTGAGCTGCCATGCCCGGCAAATTTTGAGATTTGTATTTATCTATTTATTTGTTTATTTGTTTTTAGAAAGCATGATTTATTGAGAGGACAAAACAGCTCCCACAGTGGGAAGGGACCCGAAGGGGTTGCCAAATTTTGAGATTTTAAAATCTGAGTTTTCTTTGACTTTAAACATGGTAAACACAAAATAGTAATGTCCTGTTATGCCATATTTGTATTTTATTTCCAAAATTTACTAATTCTAGTGACTTTTATTTCTTGAGTCAGAGCTCACTCTGTCCTTCAGGCTGGAGTGCATGCAGTGCCACTCTCATGGCCACCGTAGCCTTGACCTTCTGGGCTCAGGTGATCCTTCCGTGTCAGCCTTCCAAGTAGCTGGAACCACAGGTGTGCGTCACTAAGCCCGGCTAATTTTTTGACTTATTGTAGAGAACGAGGTCTTGCTATGTTGCTCAGGTCTCAAACCACTGAGCTCAGGAAGTCCTCTTGCCTCTCTATCTCCCAAGGTGTTGGAATTACAGGCGTGAGCCATTGTGCCTGGTCTTTATTTTATTTTTTTGTGGAGACAGGGTCTCACGAAGTGATCCTCCCCCCTCGGCAACCCAAAGTACTGAGATTACAGGTGTGAGCCACCATGCCCGGCCTCTTTTAGAAAATTGTTGAGATGTAATTCACACACCTTCACACCCTTAAAATGCTAGTGGCTTTTAGAATATTCGCAAAGTTGTCTGACCATTACGACTTACTGTGTTGCAGAGTATTTTCATCACTCCAAAAAGTCACCCTGTCATCTGTTAGCTGTCACGCCCACTCGTCCTTTCCCACATCTCTCACAACCACACATCTGCTTTTTACATGGATTTACCTATTCTGGACATTTCACATAGGAAGAATCATACAATTTGTGGCTTTTTGTGTCTGACTTCTTTCGCTGAGCATAATGTTTTCAAAGTCCACGTTGCTGCGTGTGTCAGTAGTTCTTTTTATGGGTTAATAATATTCCATTATGTGGATATCATCACATTTTGTTTATTCCTGCATTGGTTGATGGACGTTTGCCTTATGTCCACTTATTGTTATGGATGATGCTGCTATGAACACTTCTGTACAGGATTTAGTGTGGACATACGTTTTCAGTTCTTTTGGATATATTTCGAGGAGTGGAACTGCTGGGTCATATGTTAACTGTGTTTAAGATTTTGAGGGACTGCCAAACTGCTTTCCAAAGCAACTGGACCATTTTACATTCCTGATAGTATCTAATGGAGTTGCAGTTTCCGCACAATTTTGTCCACACTTGTTATTGTCAGTCTTTTGAATATAGCCATCCTAGTGAGTATAAGTAGTGTCTCGTGGTTTGATATGCAACTCTCTAGTGACTAATGATATTGAGTCTTTTTGTTTTTCTTGGACATTGCCCACCTTCTTTGGAGAAACGTCGGTTAAGATCCTTTGCCTACTTTTACATTGGGTTAACTGTCTTTTTACTGTTGAGTTATAAGAGTTTTTTAAAAATGTATCCTGAATACTAGATCCTTATCAGATACATGATTTGCCATTCTGTTAATTTTTTTTTAAACTTTCTTGTTAGTGTCCTTTGAAGCTCAAAAGTTTTCTGAAGTTCAATTTACTTATTTTTCTCACTTTAGATACTGTATGTAAGAAACCACTGCCTAATCCAAGGCCAGGAAGATTTACATTTAAGGGTTTTAGCTCTTACATTTAGGACTTGGGTATATTTTAAGTTAATTTTCATATATAGTGTGAAGGCCAGCCTTGTTCTTTTGCATATGGATGCAAATGTCCATTTATTAAAAAACGATTCTTTCCCTGATTGAATTGCTCCAGCATCTTTGTCAAAAAAAAAAAAAGTATGGGTTTATCTATTTCTAGGCTCTGAAACCTGTTCCACTGATCTGTATATCTATCCTTAAACCATACCACACACAGTCTAGATTTCTGTTGGTTTTTAGTAAGCTTTGAAATAGGGAATTGTAAGTCCTCCAACTTTGTTATTCTTTTTCAATATTATTTTGGCTATTTTAGATTTCTGGCATTTCCATATGAATTTTAGAATCAGTTTGTCAATTTCTGCAAAAAACCTGTAGGGATTTTTATAGGAATTGCACTAATTAAATGGAACCATTTGGGGAGTATTACTACTATCTTGACAACATCAAGCCTTTCAGTCCATGAACTTGGGGTATTTTTCCGTGTATTTAGGTCAGTTTCCTTCAGTGATGTTTTGTGGTTGTCCTTGTACGTCTTACACTACTTTTGTTAAATTTATTTCCGAGTGTTTTATTCTTTTTGATTCAATTTGTGAATGAAATTGTTTTCTTATTTTTTTTAGCAGAATGATATTCAGACTTTGTTACTTAATTTTTTTTTTCCTCAAAGATCTATCGATCTCTAATAATCTTTCAGGTAAAAAGAAATCCGAGTCTACCGCTTGCAACTTCATCAGAGACACAAGCAAGGTGGGAATTGGCCACGATGCTGCAGCTGCTTCTCCACTTTCTGTGAAAGATGTCGTTTGTGAGGATGATAAGGGAAAAATCATGGACGAAGTGATGAGAACTTATGTAAAACAGCAGGAAAAACTGAACTCAATTTTACAAAAGAAGCAACAACTTCAGATGGTAAAATTGTTATCTAAACGATTGTCCATTGTGAAAAGATACTTTTGCGTGTTCTTGGTAAGAAAAGTCAAGATGAGATGCTACAAATGCACTTGAGATTATTGAGTTTTATACTGATAAGCAATTGTAATATGCTTTTAAATTTTTAGATAAAATAGTTTTCAAGAGTAATTGCTGTTATATAGAACTGATAGGATAGCTGAATTTTAGATATCTTATGTGCTATATTTTCCTGAACTGAACTTTTTGAGATGATGGAAATAAAGTAAAAATTATATTGTGATTCTTTACGTTACAGGAAGTGGAAATGTTGAGTAGTTCAAAAGCTATGAAGGAACTCACTGAAGAACAGCAGAATTTACAGAAAGAGCTTGAATCTTTGCAGAATGAACATGCTCAAAGAATGGAAGAATTTTACGTTGAACAGAAAGATTTAGAGAAGAAGTTGGAGCAGGTAATGAAGCAAAAATGTTCCTGTGACTCAAATTCAGAAAAGGACAAGGAGGCTGAATATGCAGCACAGGTAAGAATTATGCTATTTGTATAATGGTGTCCTTTCTGCATGGAAGTGGAAACTGCTACTTCTCTGTGAAAGGAGTTACTTTTTGTTAAGCTAAAGTTCACTAGGCTAAATTTCAAAGTAAATAATTCTGTGAAACAGCTTTATGCTGTATCATATCCAAGATGATTTTTTGGCATTTATTATGTTTTTGGCGTTATGTTTTGTTAATTTAAACTTCATTAGGTTTCTATAGTTTTGTTATGTAAATTGCTAATATCAAGTGTTTTATTATTATTATTATCTATCTATTTATTTATTTATTTATTTGTTTATTTATTTTTGAGTTGGAGTATCACTCCATCGCCCAGACTGGAGTGCAGTGGCCGCTTCCAGCTACCGTAGCCTCGACCTGCTGGGCTCCGGCGATCCTTCCGCCTCAGCTTTCCAAGTAGCCGGAACTACAGGCGCACACTACCACGCCGGGCTGATTTTTTGATTTATTGTAGAGATGAGGTTTTGCTGCCCAGGCGGGTCTCGAACCCGCGGGCTCAGGCAATCCACTCACCTCAGCCTCCCAAAGGAGTGGGATTGCAGGCTGAGCCACTGAACCCGGCGTGTTTTATTATTTTAACGTAGCATTTAGGCTGTCAGATCTACAGATCGGCAAACATGAACTGCTGCCCACCGTGTTCAAAAGCACTGGTGCAAAAATAAATAAGCATCTCACTTCTGTGAATAGTAGCTCCCAAGTTAAGGAAGATGAACAAGTAACTAAGCATGAGCAGGCTGTGCTGAGGCGGGTGGTCAAGGATGGGGGCACCATGCAAGAGGTGCTGGGAGCTTCGTTCCTCTCGACCCTTTGCTTTTGCCTCAAGCTAACGTCTTGTCAGGTCAGATTAATGGTGTTAGATATTTGAAGTACTTCATGTATGTGGAATGGTTCACTTTGTGAAAAAATAGTTTGAAAGTAGATCTTTGCCATGTTTTGAAGATTAAATGGAAATACCACGCTGGATGAAAACTGACACGCCTTTTACTGACACCCTTTTAACTCACACAGTTGGCAGAACTGAGACAGAGGTTGGACCATGCTGAGGCTGACAGGCAAGAGCTCCAAGATGAACTCAGGCAGGAACGGGAGGCAAGACAGAAGTTAGAGATGATGATAAAGGAGCTGAAGCTGCAAATTCTGAAGTCATCAAAGACTGCTAAAGAGTAGAAACAGTTAAAGAGGGTCGTCCGTGTATTACAGGGTTTTTTGTTTGTTGTTTGCTTTGGTAATTGAATTCTGAACGACTTACCTGCATGAAGACAACTGGCATTCTATCCATTTGTAGATCAGAGAAAGTGAAGAGATTATATATTAATACGTACATTTTTACATTTTCCAGATGAATGAAAATATGTGTTTCTTTGTACTCTTTTTTTTTTTTAAATCAGCTTAGTAACAGTACTATATGGTTTCAACTAGTAGATAAGCTGCCTATATTTCTAATGCAAACATAACAATTGTCTACTTTTTAAAAGCTGCAGTGAGTGATGGAGATTAGCTGTGGTCAATTTTGTTATCCATATTTCAGACTCAATTTTAGATACAATGGTGGCTTCATATTTTAAATATATAATATAGAGCTACTCAGTGAGTTGAATATCCCTTTTTCTTATTAACGCAGTCTCCTTTCTAAGTTGATATATTGTTCTCATTATTATACACACAGTTTACTTTGACTTTGTTCAGACTGTGGAATGAATTTCCACCAGTTCTCCTCTTTCTACCGTCTCCTAAGAGGAATTTCACTGAAGTTAGAGCACATCCCCTGGGCACAATGGGGAAGGAGAACATGCATTGTTATGCTCTGCTGCTAAAGGTGAGAAGCAGTTGTAATTTGTTTTTCAGTTTAAATGTGGCTATATTTAGGATTTTTTTTTGAACAGCTACTTTGGAAAAATAAAATGTCATAATTTCTGGACTCTTGTTTATGCTGTTAATAGTGGTGTCAAAGTACTGTTCTTGAGGAAAACTGATAACATTGATGTACATCAGTTTCTATACGATCCATCATCTTCTTGTACAGTTTTTATATGTAGTTATGAGTCTTACTGAAATTTATATAATGGACTTGTTTTCCTTTAAGTTGTAAAATATTAAACACCTTGAAGGTTATTTTGGACTTTTATATATTTAAATGTTAAGTCTTAACCAAATTTGCACGAATGGACCATTTTCAATTATGTTTAATGTCAAAAGCAGGAATTCACAGCCAACTGATAGTGGTGACAGGTGAATACAGGATGGTTTAGTCGTCTGCTACTAAAAGTCTCTTAGACAGTTTTTAGAAGACAGGAATTCCATAGTTTGGGGGGGGGGCAGCATCTTCTGCACTTTTATTTTGCACAGAAAAATCTCATTCTCTAATGGCAGATTTTGTATTAGTTAACTGTTGACTTAAAAAATACTCAGTAAAATTCTTAGTATGCATTTTTAAAGGAAGTTTTTCACGTTCTCTTACAAAGGTACTATATGAAATTACTTAAGAAGAGCTAAGTTTATTTTAAAGTAAGTTAGCTAGGGTTAAGGTTATATACTGTCTCTAGCATAGAAGGTAGATACTCCGATGGTGTAGAGCTTACAAAATCATTAGGGTATTATTTTCATATTTTGCTTAATGGTACTCACTCAAAAATAATTTTTGTTCTTTCCCCAATGTAGTTTCTTTACTAAACTGAATATGATCTGAATGTGTCGTTTCTATTTTCCTTTTAAATTTTGATATTTTTAACCCTGTAATTTGCTGATTCTTGGAATCTTTTTAAGGAGGAACAAACATTAGAATGACATGCAGAAACAAATATTTAAAATGATATGTCTTCCCAGTACCGTTTGTTGAGCTCTGGAGAAAGAAAAATGACATACATTTGTGATACATTTTTATTTTAGTTGTAAATTAGTTGTGTCATAGCTCAGCTTTTTGGAAGACAAACTCAAGCACCTAGAATTTAATTTATTTTTCTAATCCACTCAAAACCTCCCTGCTTTCTGTGATGTAACAAATGATAAACTTATTTAAGATTCAACCCAGAACTTCTAAAATAAGTTGCTTAATCTTTGAAATATGTTATTTTAAAATTCTAAGCGGTGCTTAAACATCATTAAGTTATTATAAGCTCATGCTTCAGAATTGAGTAAAGAAATATTTTTTCACATATGAAAACTTGCCACATGACATTGGTTTTCATTTTCCTGAAGATACATTGATGTGCCATAGGTTTCTGTCTAACTTTCTTGGAAAGCTTTTCTTAGTCAGTGTGTAAATATTATACCTATGATTGTCAAAAAAGTAACTTTAAACTGCACAACATAGTTTGAAAAGAATATAGAGACTTTTTGTAATACTTTAAAAGTGGCCTCTGCTAAAATATCTATATAAAATTTATTCTTTTATTCTTTGCATGCTTATTTCGTGTGTCGCTTGCTGGCTTGAGTTTGATTTGGTGTTAGTTTTTGTGTGCCAAATTCACCAAGCAAGCAGATTTTTCCTTGGACTCCATGATATAATTCTTTTTAGGGAAAATACAAAATTGTTTACTCTAAAAAGCTGCATTAGAGGAACTGCCTATAGAAAGTTTTGCTAGAGCCTACTCTTTAGAGGGAATAAACAATATTAGCTTGGGTGATGTTTAATTTGGGTGGTGATAGTTTCTATAGTATAAACTTTATGAGAAAAATGTACCAAATCTAGAAAGGTAGTAAATGCAAGACATCTTGCTGTCATCGAGGAAACTCTTAGACTACCTGAATTTCACAAATGCAACTTGTAATACTATGACAAGATTTGACCGACAATTTAAGTTTGGCTTGTGTTGTAGTTTTTGTAAAGCATATTCTTTTGCTTGAATTTCTGTGTTCATGAGAGTTAGGGTGTTTTATGCTTCTTGAACTAATTTTATAACATATTTAATATATTACCAGTTAAGATATAAAATCATTTGTACATAATTGAATGATAAAGCAGCTACTCAAGCAGGCGAAATAGACTGAGTACTCTGTTTTTTGCAAGATATTCATCCTTTTAGAAGACATGACAGAACAACCAGTTTATGTACACATCTATGGCTTCTGTTAGAAGAAAAGTAAAATGGCAAGGACATTCAAGTAATGTAAAACGTGTCAAGGTATTTCCCTAAAATTAATCGCCAGGTTGGTGCTGAAGGTTTTTGGTCAGCTTCTAAAATTTTCTTCTCAATGATACTCATGTCTTGATTACTTAGGGATGATTTCTCACTTTAATTTGCCCTTATACGTTTAATCCACATGATAAGACATTAAATATTAATATAAGGAGAAATTGTGCTCATACTGTACATCTGTTTCTGTGCTTGGAACTACTTGTTAATAGTTTTTATTGATGCTGTCAGCAATAAGGGATATATAAACTGCTGTATTATACATTGTGGAATTGGGTAATTTAAACAGAGCTTAAATTTTTTTTTTCTAGTATAGGGTACTTAAGCATTTCCACTATTGGAAGAAAAGCATATGGATGTTTTATATTGCATCTTGTTTAAAAGGACAGTGTTTTTTTTTCTTCGTAAAACCTTATTCAAATGACTTCTAAGCTATATAATGTAATTTGGAGCCTATTTAGTAATAGAATTAAATGTCTTATGTAGTGCTACAGTTTTTGAATTACACAGTGATCAAATGTAAAAACATTTAAAAATTAAGCCCAGAAAACAAAATAATAGTATTAAATTTGTTTAATATAAAACATTTATAAGATTTTTTTCTTCAGTAGAGGTACCTCACTTGAAAATAAAGCACAGCACTCTTAGCGTAGTTGTAGTAAAATTCGCCTACTTAAGACCCTTGTTAACGTAGGGTATCTTTTGGGGAATTGGAGTTTGTGAGAAATAAAATATATTTGCTTTTAACCATCCTGCTAGAAGCTTTTGTTATCCTGATCATTTTAAGCTGACATAGTCGTCTTAAATTATTTCTGAATTTCTAATTTGTGAAGGCAGTCAAGGAAGTATCTATTCTGTAACTGTTGAAGCAAATCATTGACTACAGTGACCATAATTCAGTTTAAAATTCTGCCAATGATGTACAGTTTTATGGTTAAAAATGCTGTGGTTGGTTGCATTACATGACACACAAAACTGTCCTCTACCTCACGTGAAATAAATATTTTATACGGTTTTACTAAAAAATCAGACTCATCTATCTGGTCACTTAGTTTACAAATTTTGAACTATATTTATTGAAACATGACATACTGTGCTCTTAGCTTATACCTCAATTGTATTTTGTGCTGTTTTCCATTTTCATGCCTTGTAAATAACTTGTATAGATCATGGATCAAGTTCCAAATAAAAACTTTTAATGCCAATGAAATTTGATTCACGTTATCTCCGAATCCTGTGTAAACTTAACTTTTTTTGTCTCCCAAGACTGGCATTTTCTCCTTTTGTTCCTTTAAAGCCTATTTTTTATCACGCGCTGACTGATCAGCTTGAAAAACATCCTATAAAATGTGAAATTTTATGTAATATTTCAAGTGATGAAAATGCTGGCATTTTGTGATTATTTTCTCTCCTGATTCTTGGACGTTTGCTTTAACATTTTCCCACCACTCCTGGTGTAAGTTACGAGTTGCTGCATAACGAATCACCTCAAAGCTTAGCAGCTTAAAGCAGCAAGTGTTCTCTCACGCATTATCTGAGGGTCAGAAATCCAGGGCATGGTCTGGCTCGGCGGCATGGACCTGTAATCCCAGTGCTTTGCGAGGCTGTGGCAGGAGGGTCCCTTGAGCCCAGGAGTTCAAGGCTACAGTGAGCTATGATTGTGCCACTGCACTCCAGCCTGGGCAACAGAATGCGACTTAGTCTCTAAAGTAGAATAGAGACACACACACACACACACACACACACACACAAATGAGACTTAGTCTCTAAAGTAGAAGACACACACACACACACACGATATATAATGTTATAGCATCATCAATAAAGCCAAATTTAGCTGGGCATGATGGCTCATGCCTGTCGTCCCAGCACTTTGGGAGGCGGAGGTGAGAGGAGTGCCTGAGTCCAGGGGTTCGAGACCAGCCTGGACAACTTGGCAAGACCTCATCTCCACAACAAATTAAAAAAACTAGCTGGGCATAGTGGCAGGCGCCTGTCGTTCCGCCTACTTGGAAGACTGAGGTGGAAGGATTGTCTGAGCCCAGCAGGTCGAGGCTGTGGTAGCCGTGAGCTGCCACTGCTCTCCAGCCTGGGCGATGGAGTGAGACTTTACCTAACAAATAATAGAATGTTAGCTCCCTATTTTGGCTTTGGAGTTCTTGCGAGCTTGCTGTTAGATGTTACCCAGGGCTGAAGTCACCCGAGAGCTTGACGGAGCTGTAGGATTTGTTCAAGGTTTACTTGGTTGCTGACAGACACTCAGTTCCTGCCGGTGCAGCTGTGCACAGCTGTTTACAGTGGCTGGCTTACCCCAAATGAATGATCCAGAAAGTGATGCCATCATTTATTTGTGACCTAGACTCTTAACGCTTTTACTTTTGGGTTTTTTTTTTTTTTTACAGAAGAGGATTACACAGGTTATGACTACCAGCAAGCAGGGGGAACCATCTTAGAGTTGGGCTGCGTAATGCTCTCTAAATTCTAATTAAAAACCCTTTTTGGGGTGGTAAGATATGTATAATAAAAATTAGCCATTTTCACATTTTTAAAAAGATTCATTTTCAAATTGGCACTCTGAGACAGCATTTTAACAATTTTTAAGTGTATGATTCAGTGACAGTAATACATTCACCATGTTAGGCAGCTATCACCATGATTTCCAGAACTTTTTCATCATCCCAAACCCAGACTCAGAACCTAGTGAAATAGTAGCTCCCTCCTTCCAGCCCCTGATAACATCTATTCTACTTCTTGAATCTGAATTTACCTATTCTAAGTACTTA